CTAGGCCATCAAGATGCTTTTGACGTTTTTATTTTTATTACCTAGCTTGTTAAATCATCCTTTTATTAGCTATGTGTCATTTGCAAATTTAATAAACAAACTATTTGTATTTTTTCCATTGATAGAAATGTTAAGAAGCGGTGCCTGGGTGGCTCAGTCAGTTAAGTGTCTGCCTTCAGCTCAGGTCATGATTCCAGGGTCCTGGGATGGAGCTCTGCGTCGGGCTTTCTGCTCAGTGGGGAGCCTGCTTCTCCCTCTCTCTCTGCCTGCCGCTCCCCCCTGCTTGTGCTCTCTCTCTCTCTCTCTGTGTGTCAAATAAATAAATAAATAAGAGAAATGTTAAAAAAGAAGTAAACAGAAAATCCTGCTTCAGGCTTCTACTTTCTCTCCCTTGATTTAAAGAGTTTTTGAGATACTCTTAAATCTGTTGCTGAAAATCATATACATAAAGTCAATGACATCACTCAGCTAGTAAATGATATAAAATGGACATAATGACCGCCAATGAAATTTCTACTTTGTGAAACTTTGTTGCTTGTGATTCTGACTTCCTTCTAGAAGGACTGAGAAAGTGAGCAATCCATTCTAAAATTTTGATGTTGGCTGACAGTGATCACATTCTTATTTCTAAATAAATATATTTCTTCCATTCGCTTTAGAAAGATCAAACTTGTCCTTGATTAGGTACTCTTTCTTTCATCCTTTTTATGTGTCCTTTTTCAAGCATTGCTCATCAAAGAGCTCCATGTGAAGTCCTATTATTTATTTAGATCCATCTCCTTTCCCTTCTTTTATAGGATTGTTTTCTGATTAGCAGATGACCCAACTAAAGCAACAGCTGCGGGGTGTCATTCTCTAGGGGGTGTCAAACCTCACTAGAATACATGAGGTATCTGTTTGAAGTTCAGTCTGTCTTTACAGATGAGTATTCACATAGCTGGTGAATGCATATTGGCCGTTTCTCACTGAAATATATGTCGCTTTCAAAGGGGAACTTAAAAAATGCTTCTCACTCATCCTGCTCCTACTAAATGGCCAAATATTTAAGGAATATTGGCTTCAGGATATGGCCAATGATTAGCTTCCCCAAGTGCCCACAAGTCTTTGTGGCCCTCACTGTGACTCCTTTGATTGTATTAACAGAATTTATCTTCAGGGTGTCAGCTCCCCTCCCTGTGTCTTCATCATTCTGAAGATGCAGGTGTTCCTGGGAAGCAATGCATAGCTCTTGGTGTCACACATCTCTCGGTTCAAATCCCACCTCCACCAAAGACCAGCTGGCGGACTGACAGCCAATGGTTCTCAGCTGGTGTTGACATGGCCCTCCCGGGGACATGTGGCAATGTCTGGAGACATTTTTGGCTGTCACAGCTGGGGGGTGCTACTTGGTAGAGGCCGGGATGCTGCTAACTGTCCCATGATGCATAGGACAGCCCCACAACACGGAACTGTCTGACCCAAAATGTCAACAGTGCGGTGCTGGGAAATCCTGCTTCAAGAAAATAATGTAACCTTTCTCAACCATGGTCCCTTCCTCCGTACAATGAGGGTAACAGTGGTCTGGGTGGCACTGGGGGGATTACAGAGAGGACTTGCTTGCAACACCGATCAGAATGACTGGCACAGAGCTGGCATCAAGAAAAGACAATTGTTTTCTTTATTTATGCACCATTTATGTAGGCATTGTGTTGGGTACTTCCTAAGATGTTATTAGCTTAATACTAAGTGAGTAGTTCATTTACTCCACAAATATTTTTTGAGGGCTTTCTATATGCTAGGCACGGATCTGGTTGCTGCGAATTGATTAAAAAAAAAACAACACACAAAAAACGCAAAACAAACAAAAACCACCTGCGAGAACCCAGGCCCTCGGGGTTTCAAGGAATGTGCCCAAGGGTTCAACACTAATGAGAGGCAAGGCCTGGATTCAAATAAAACCAGCTGCTGTGGACCAATGCTTGTGTCCACCCCAAATCCTATGTTGAAATCCTAACCCCGATGTGATGACATTAGGAGGTGGGGACTTTGGGAGGTGATTAGGTCATGAGCGGGGAGCCCCCATGAATGACATTAGTGCCCTTGTAAGAAGGGACAGGAGGGAGCTCGCTTCCTCTTCCCGCATGAGGACACACAGAGAAGTTAGCCACCCACCAACCAGGGAGAAGGACCGGCCAGACACCTGATCTGCTGGCTCCCGGACTTCCCAGCCTTCAGAACCACGAGAAGCATCTGTGGCTTACGCCTCCCGGTGTGTGGTGTTCCGTTAGGGCCGCTGGAGCTAAGAGACCAGCTCTGCCTGATTCCAAAGCCTACATTCTCTGCACTCCATTATTCTCCATTATTATCAGACACCTGCTTTCAGAAACACCAGATTGCAAGGCATGTGAGAGCTGTGGATCTCGCCTCCGGGCTACTTTTATTGACCAGATTAGCATCGTCATCCCACTATCTCACTTCTTCGATGACATGCCTTTTGTTTCTTTCCCCTTTTACTCTTTATTAATTCAACAAATGGTTCTTGAGCACTTGCTACTTGTTAGGAGACAGTGGAATGACAAGTCACCGCCTTGGTCCGTGTGGAGCTCCCAGGCTGGTGTAGATGAGAGTCAGTCTCTGGGAGATGTCCGTGCCCTGGGGACCAGGGGCAGCATCCTACCTTCCTCTTCTGTGCGTGACGCCATGATGCCATGTCCACCTTGGGGTCAGCGACTTCCTTACAGGTGTTCCTATGTTCTTGACATAACTCGTTGCCATGTGCACGGTTAGTTTATGTGCACAGCAAAATTTTCCCCTGGGGCACGGAAAACTCTGGGTGTAACACTCCTACACCTGAGGTTCATGTTATGCATTTCACTTGGCACAGATTTAGAGCCCAGTAAATTCCTAGTTATAGAGGATGTTGCCTTTATGATGCTATTGTTCATGACCTTGAAGGTCCATGCTACATTGTATATGGTAATTTTGCTCAAGTGTGCATTGAATCACATGGCCTGAAATACTGATGAGCCAGACAGTGTTACTTCTAGTGATGGGACTTAGCAATCCCTCAACATTCCTGTCAACACGTGACGTTGTGAGTCTCATAGAGCAATGAAGTCCACTGTTTCAGGTGTGTTCATGGTGGATGTTACTCTAGGAATATCACAGTATAGTGTCTTTGGGACTATCATACCATCATAGTGTTGAGTTTGTTCTGATGGAATGATTACGGCCCCGAAAAGAACACTTAAAATTTTCAATTATTCTTGACTGAATTGTAGGAATGCCTATGGTGAGACGTGGGCACTCACCAGTGTCTCAGGATGTATGACACCACAAATGTCAGGGCTCTCCTCCACTAAATGGCCATTTCTTGCTGCTGATGAATGGCCTCCCTTGACTTCCAGCTGCCTCCCTTCTGGACAAGTTCTTTTGATTTGCTTGAGGCCGTGGACTCTCCTCAAGAGAGACCCACATCAAAACTCCACTTTGCCACATCCTCGTTAAGTAACTTTGGTGACTGGCTCTCTCAACTTGTTTCCTCATCCTACCGAGGAGGATCATCATCACAGGTCTTGCTTCACTGGACGGCTGTGCCATTTAGTTGACACACGTACATGTGGGAATTGTTTGGCACAACGCCCAGAACATAGTAGGTGCGCGTGAATTTCAGCCCTCCTTCCTTTCCCACCTGTCGACTGAGCTAATGCCCCCTTCCCATCTTTCCCCGAGGATGTGGCCTTTTCCTCTGAGGCCCCGTGTGCAGTTCTGCTCATCTGCAGCCTTGCCTGGCGTGTTTCTGCTTCTAGGTCCAGGAATACGTATCCCTCAACCGCTGAACCTCCGCTGCCAAACTTTCCCATCTTTCTTTTTTCATTTCTCAGTCAACTGGCACAGAGATAATGGCTCGGTAGTCAGGAGCACAGACCAAGGGGTCTGCCTGCCTGGGTTCAGGTTTTGGCCCCACCAATTATGAAGTAGGTGGTCTTGGGCAAGATATTGAATCTCTCTGTGCCTCAGTTTTCTCATCTGTAAAATGTAGACAGTCTTGTGTGCTCTTGTCTAATCTTGATGATCTCATAGAATTGCCATGAAGGTTCAATAAGTTCATATATCTAAGGTAGGGCGGAGCTCGGCTTGCAGTAAATCCTATATAAGTGCACATTATTGTTATTTTTATTATAGGTCGGGTCTCCTATTCTCCTAATTATCTACTCCCCCTGCCCCCATCTTTTAAAATGAGCACTTTTTACAATTAATGACATTCTGACCACCACTACTTGCTGGACACGGACGTACCTCCTCCTTGGCCCACACATTACCCACCATCTTACTGTTTTCATTCTTGGCTCACAATATAAGTTCTCATAGTAAAAAAAAAATTCTTTCACTGGCTCTACATCAATCACTTAAAAATATATAACCAATCACACTGGTATTTTAATCTAGACGGTGCTGATCTATGGCAAGAAAAGGGCAAGAGTGATGCTCAGACTAACAATCACGCATGGGGGGGGTGGGTGTTCGCCGCAATTTTCCAATCCTTGTTGGCCTTCTAATTTGCAAATAATATCAGCCGGCTTTTTCAGAGTGAGAGGAAGACAGAACCATGTTGATGTGCTTAGACAAAGTTAAATACTGCTAGTAGGTGGGGGTCTCAAATAAATGAATGAGCAAATTTCACATAGAGAAGCAGGGAGCAGACACTGGTTTTACTTCTGTTTTAGTTTCTATCACACACCAAAGGATGCTGGTCCCATGGCCTTCACCAACATAGAAGACACAACCACCAATCACAATGTGTTTCAGAGGCCAATTACCCCAAAGATGATCTGATGATCTCTTCCGCATCACTGAGAAAACCAACACACCTTCTCTTGTACTGAGGAGGTCTCAGTGACTGAACCCAATGGCAGAAATCGACCTGGTAACTTAAAAATCCAGATTCACATCACCTAACAGAATTCTTACACCAAACATATTCTTACCATACGTTTATACATGAAGCACACAATTCTTACCTATAACTTTTCCTAGAAAGAGCGACTTGGGAGAATTGAACAGTGTGTCAGACGAGCTCGGCAGATGGTAACTCACAGAAGGATAGTGATCAAGCTGCAGGAAGAAAACAAGAGACACTTTTAGAAGAACGTTGCTAACTTGTGCTGGAATCACATCTTTCCAGCAGGATGAGTCCGTCTCAGAACCCTGGGGTCCGGATATCTTCCTTCATCGGTGCGGACTCTCAAATACCAGCCTGAACAAACAGGAAGCCCATCTATTCCTTCTCTGGGCTTATTTGAAAACATTTTGAGCTTGGTAAAGACTCTTTATGAATTGTTCTTCAGCTTATGCAATTTTCTGTGGATAATTTGTCCACATTTTCTGCTGGATTAAGATCCTTGCTCGTTTTTAATAGAGTAAAATCTGCTTGATCCGATCTCCAGCATTAACCCCTGAGATAGAAAATGCTGCATCTTTAACAATGAATTTTCTTTAAGATCCGCTTACTGTCCTGTTGTATTTGCCTTTCCATACCATCAGCTCTCAGACCAATATTGATTTTCAGTATGTATATTCAAATATGAATATATATGTAAATATATATTCAAATGCTGAAATTCAAGTTGGGTAAATATACATGGTGGGTTTGTTGTTTTTTTTTTTTTTGCTTATCAAGAGAGGAGGATGCCCCCACAGGGCAGGGACATTTGAGCCTGGCGGGGACAAAGGCACATTTGCTGTAGCTGGCCTGGTTCCTTCAGAGTGGAGGTGAGTTGGCAGTAAGGGAGGGAAAAATAAGCAGATGGAAAGAGCTGTGGGAGCAATGCACATTACTGATTACATTTCTCAAGTACAAAGTACAAACGCTGGTGTCCCAGAATCAGGGCCTCTCTTGTCCTCTCAGTCCCGACATGGCTTTTTCTGCCTTAGCTGTCTTTTTACAACTGATACAGCCTAGTGGTGTTTCCCTCACTGGGAGCTCCTAGAGTTTTCTGTGCCTCTCTATATCCACCTGTGAAGAATCGCTTTTGTAGCCTTTCGCTTTTCTGCAGTGAGTTTCCTACCTGCTCAGGTAAGCGGCAGGTGAGGTGCGGGTCAGCGGAAACACTGCGTCCCTTCCCAGCACAGGCATGCAAGCAGGGGCTTGCTCAAGGCGGCAGCACACACCCCAGAAACCGGCCCCACTCCCGGGTCCCTGCTAGTAACCGCCAAGATGGGCGAAGCTGCCGGAAGCTAGGCTGCTAGAAAGTGCCGGGAAGTGAGCTAATCTCACTGGCCACGTGGAGAACGAGCCTCTTTGAGGAAGGATCATTCATCATTAATGACTATCTGCACCTGACTCCTGAGGCTGCTTACTAGAAACCTAGAGGTTATTGAGAGCCAGGGTTCAGAGTCAAAGACTCATCACCTCTCAGGAACGTGGGGAGTTCTGACCTGCAGAACCAGTGCTGTGAAATTATTGTGCCCGGGTGCTGGTTCAGCACTGTAACGGAGGTCCAAAAAACACTGTGAAAGCAAACACTGGCATGCTCAACTATAATTCTGATTTTAAGTGCAGCATTAACAAAACCCTTATTCTGTCCAGAGAAGCTTAGATATTTTAAATCTCATGAAGTTGCTGCGCGGGCTGCTGATTAGCTAGCTGCTTTGGCGCCATCTGGTGGCGCATATGGGTAACTGCTGCTGTCCCTCCACTTCTGCGGTCAAAAAAGATAACCATAGAACGCCAACATAATAGGTTACCCTGCAAGCTTCACAGCGATGATCTTCCCCTAGATACTTCTTATACCTTCATCTGTCTTGCTAAAGAACTTAAAAATGGATACAAACAATATATGCTCATTATAGAGAAAATAATAGTATAGATTTGCAGAAAATAACCCATGCCTGGTGATAATTATTATTTTTAAAGATTTTATTTACATATTTGAGAGAGAGAGAGAGAGGGAGAGCGTAGAGGGAGAGTGAGAGGGAGAAGCAGACCGTCTGCTAAGCAGAGAGCCTGACGTGGGGCTCGATCCCAGGACCCCAAGATCCTGACCTGAGCCAAAGGCAGACACTTAACCGGCTGAGCCACCCAGGTGCTTCGATAATTAATTTTTTATCAAGTCAACTTTTTAATGTATATTCTTTTGATTTTTTACAACTGGATGGAACCTAACTGCATACATTGTTTTGCACTTACTTTTCATTACTTAAAGATATATTATGAAATTCTGTAATTCAGTAAATAAAAACTACATCATTTGTCATGAATGACTGGTATTCCATTTTATGAATACACTGTACAAATCTTAAAAACTATCAAATTTCGATGTTTAGACTTTAGATTTCTTATGTCTTTTGGCCCAGAGCAGTGCCAAGCACATAGTAGGTCCTCAGTAAAAATGTGTTGACATATGTCCGTGTAACTGGTAAAGCAGGGCACGCAGAGTGAAATCAGTCCTCGGATGCGGCCTGACCCACCTAGTGGGGTTACCTGCTTTTTCCTGAACTGCTTCTATGGATCCAGACCAGACAGACTTTGCTTTTTGGCAGCCATTTGATATCACTGGTACTGAGCTCACAGGAAAATAAAATTCCTACTTTGTCTCCAGAGCTTACTTTCAGCTTTTCCCATTCCTACATATATGCAGTTGAGAACTCGGACCAAAAGCTAACATTTACATTTATTTACAGTAAGTTTGTTTTCTTTTGTTTCAAGGCAAAAGTTTCTTGAATCTTGATTGTCATTTAGAATATCAGGGATCCTACCTGGCTTTGACTGATCTATAAATGTCACGAACACTCCTAAGTCTTAATTCATGCAGGAAGTGAGGTCTGCCCGAGCCACAGGCCCAGAGTGTGATCCCTCTGTGACCATGCAGCCCGGTGACCAGCCCTCTAGACGTGAGATAAGAGGCCCTGAGCACTTCCCCTGCGGCCCCCGTGTTCCAGAGGCCTTCTGTCTCCCACCACACGCACATGCACACACCACCAGCTACCATGCACCTGCTTCCCCACCTGCACCCTGGAGGCTGGCTTATTGCTTGGCCAAATCAGAACCCCTCTGCTCTCTGGACGGCGGAACCACCACACCTTCTCCAACGACACGTCTGAAAGCCTCCATGTTTGTCCTTCAGGGGGCACGCACCTTCAGCTGGGGCGGGGGAGCTCTATGAACTTCGATTGGAGTTTCCTTCTAGCCTAGAGTGTCCCGTTATCGCCATTAATTCTTACATCAAATACCTCATGTTTAACCTACTATGTGGTTTCGATATCTGATTGGACCCAGACAGCTCTCCTAGGAAAGGAGGAAGCGGGCATTGAGCAACTACCGCATGCAAGGCTTGCTAGGCTGTTCCCGTCTTACTTACTAGATATTGGGTAGGTGTTCTCTTCTCTGGTGATGCAAAAAGCATCCGCAGTCAGAAAGAGAGTACGTGGCAGAACCGCATTCTAACCCAGCTACATCAGGCCACAAAGACCAAACGGGAAGCAGCCAGCACAGTCTCCAGAAGGAGCCCAGCCATGGCAACCAGGGAAGGGAGAGGCTCAGTGGCATTTTAAATATTTACATTTGAAGGAGACAATGCAGTCAATCAGATAAGGCAAGAAAAGCACAACCTGAGAAGCCTAAGGGCGTCACACCGCATCATTTCCCTTCTATCGCCAGGTGGCCACCTCTTTCCAGGTGCGCCCCCTCTTTCCACCTGAGCCCCCTCTTTCCACCTGAGCCCGGGTGCATTTGCCATGGTTAAGTGTACTAATTTCAAGGGAGTTTCTTTGGGGTCCAAGTGAGCTATTTTGCTGTACATTTAGCTGGTGGCCATTTCACTGGCAGTTAAGAGGTAATAAGAGATTTGTGTAATGGAGGCCCATTAAAATTAAAGACTGTGACTCCCTGTGCCCTGGGACGACCTTAAGGGAGCACTAATTGGTTCCGCATTTACCACCATACTGACTCAGGCTGTGGTGCGTGTCCTACACACTGAGTCGATCGCTTTAATGTTCGTTCAGGTATTATTTCCCAATTTCGGCTCATTTCCATTTTGAAGCCACCGTTGGCCTTGGCGGAGCTCAAAGGGATTTCAGCAGCCTTGCTGATGTTTTGGGGGCGACATGGAGGAGGCAGGGAAGGAACAGAGAAGAAAGACCGAGCCCGGTGGATTTGGTTGCACCCCAGGAGGGGCCTGCCCCACCTGAGATGAAGCGACACAAAGTACTCATTGCCCCGAGGGCCTGTGTCTGGGGCTCTGGACAAGGGCCTGGGATGTCACACCTCTTTTCCGAATCCTTTGTTTTGGGTAATACAGGGAATTAGCTCAGACACGCTGAACTCCGAGCAGACCATCTTGATGGATGTTTTTATTCCAAGTTGAAGGCTGACCATGAGGAAAGGCCACGGGAAACAGACATCAGGGGTGAAAACAACGATCAGCTCCTCTCAACCCCGCCCCGTCTCTCCCCCTCCCTCCCCACCTGACATTCCCATGCATGTTTGAAGAGCAGGGGCCTTGCCTTTCTCTCCTACCTTAACCTCATCCTGCCTGGGGGTCCACAGACGGGTCCCCGCAGGCCTCAGGCCGTTCAACAGCCAAGAAAGGGAAAGAGCAAGACTCAAGCCCAGCACCAGGGGTTCATTCACTTAAATGTCTTCTGCCTCCTCCTGACTCCAAGTCACTCTGTTCTCGTGAATGGAGAGGACACAGTAAATGTACACGAGGGTGGGAGGCAAAACTGGAGTTTTTGTGGGTCTGTCGCCTGCAATGGGGCTGCGGCCTGTCCTTTCCTGTCCCCTGGCTAGATGGTGACTCCATGAGGATGAGGGCCAAGCCCTACCCACCTCCCTCCCCGGGAGGAGTGGGCTGAGCACGCAGGGAGGGAACACACCGGGAGTCAGAGCCCAGGGAGTAAACTCACCTTTGGACTTGGGGCTGTTTCTTTCCTGCAGCGTAATCTAGTCGACCTCCTGGCCCTTCTATGACCCACATGAAATGGGCCTGTATCATCTGAGGTGCTGAGCACTTACTAAATGAGTCATCACTAGCAGAGCACACGGATGGTCTGCGAGCGCGCGTGTGTGTTTAAGGCACGGGAACCCTCGCTTTTACTTCCACTGGAACTCGGTT